AGAATAGGAAGGTCAGGGAAGGCGTTTCCTGGGTGATTGAGCCTTGGAGATACAAGAAACCATGGGACTAAGGGGAGGACCACAGGCTGGCGGAGTAGCAAGGATGTCTGGTCACGAAAAGGCCTCTAGGGTTGTCTGAGTGAAATGAGACAACAAATGAATGCATGGCACACAGTCCCAAACCAAAGCCACCATGATCCAGTCGATTCCAACTCAATAGCAACTGTGATAGTTAAGGTGTTGTGTTAACTTGGCTGTGCTAGGATTCTCAGTGGCTTGGCAGGTAAGATTCAGAAATCCCTCCATAATGAAATCTAATATAATGACAACACCTCCATGAAGAGATCTGCTGTGAGCAATCAATCAACTGAAAAGAAGTTTACTCAGGGGGTGTGGATGCTGTGGAAAAGCTGGCTTGCTGTTTGCTGGGTCTCGATCCTGCAGCTGCTCATTATCTGATCTCCGGTTCTCTGGACTCCAGTCAGTAGCCTACCATACTGTCTGCCAATCCTGGGAGTCATCAGCAGCCTGCCCCCTTACCTGCTGATCTTGGATGCATTTACCTCTGCCGTCAGAAGGCTGCCATCTGACCTGCTGGTTCATCAGCCCCTGCAGCTTCATGAGTCAGGACGCCTTCAGTGTGACATCTGACCCACTGACTTGGAACTTGCCAAATTCCACAACGGTATGAGCCATTTCCTTGATATATACCTATATGGTGGTGGTGGTGTGCCATCCACTAGGTTCTGACTCATAGCGACCCTGTACAAGGGTTTCCAAGGCTGTAAATATTTACAGGAGCAGAAAGCCTCATAGTTCTCCTGCAGAGCAGCTGGTGGACTCAAACAGCTGACCTTGCAGTTAGTAGCCCAACACATGGCCCACTGTGCCACCAGAGTTCCTTTTATATTTGGAGTGTGGTGGCACTATAAGATGAGCACTGAACTGCAAACCACAAGGTTGGCAGTTCAAACCCACCAGCCTTTTCATGGGAAAACAGTGAAGCTTTCTGCTCCCTATATGGAGTCACCTGGCACCTGCCATATTTGTTGTTAAGTTCCATCCAGTCGGTTCTGATTCATAGCGATCCTGCATGGAATTTCCAAGGTTTTAAAGCCTCATTTTTCTCCCACAGAATGGCTGATAGGTTTGGGCTACCAACCTTGTGGTTCCCAGTCCTGTGCTTATCCTACAGAGTCATTGTGCTCCCCATATATGTGTGTGTGTTGTTTTTGTTTGTCAGGTGTCTTTGAGTAGGTTCCAACTCACAATAAAACACTGCCCGATTCTGCGATTTCCTCACAATTGTTGTGTGAGCACATTGTAGTAGCCACTGTATCAGTCTATCTTGTTGAGTCTTCCTCCCTTTCGTTGACCCTCTATTTTCCCAAGCATGATGTTTTTTTGCAGGGACTGGAAAAAGCTTCACTGGTTTTGCTTCTCTAGTGAACCCAGCCTAAGATAACGGCCCTATAAAACAGAGTAGAATTGCCCCATAGGGTTTCCAAAGCGGTATAACTTTACGTTAAGCAGACTAGCTCATTTTTCTCCTTCCTGGTAGCTGGTGGCTTTGAACCACCGACTTTTCAATTACCAGCCCAATCAATAGTTAACCCACTGTTCCACCAGGGTGTGTTTAGCACACGTTAGGCACTCAATAAATAATGGTGATTATTAAACTTCAGCACTGATCCCAACTGGAAACACCAACTGGAGACTTATGAATGGAACAGGGAAAATGAGAACGTTCAGGTAAGACAGCGCTATAGCAATGAGTAAGAGCAGCAGAATTCAGAGCTTCACGAACGATGAAGATGATGATAATGATCATTGTTGTTCAATGTTGTGGAGTCATTTGTATACAGGAGCAGAAAGCCTCATTCTTCCCCCTTGAAAAAGCGGGTGGGTTCAAACTACGGACCATGTGGTTCATAGTCCAGTGCTTATCTACAGTACTATACCAGGGCCCCTGGCATCTGCTTTGTTGTTGTTAAGTGCTGTGGAACCCGTTCAGACTCATAGCAACCCTGTATAGCAGTTCGTAGGTTTGAACTGCTGATCTTGTGGTTAACAGCCCAGTGTTTATCCTACAGCACCATGCCAGGACTCCCAGAATCTGCTCAGTTGTTGCTGTTAAATGCCATCAAGTCGATTCTGGCTCACAGCAACCATTTCTGGGGAGCGGCAAGGGGCCAGACAGTGTTTTGGTCACATAACCCTGTGAAGTAGGTCCTATTGTCATTATCTGTATTTTACAGATGAGGAAAATGAGGCACAGAGTGGTTTAATGCCTCACAAGCAGTGAGGATTCAAAGTCAGGCAGGCTGACCCTATGGTTAACCTACCATTATGGTTCTGTGAACAAAGAGCACCAGGAGCCGAAGCCTATGACATCAAGGAAGGAGAAGATAGTATCTAAACCCGGTCCTGTGAGCTAGACAATCTGCCTGGAGGAAAAGACTTGCTAGGCCAGGCCAGGCCAGTATTTGCAAAGGGTTAAAGCCTTAAAAGTGCATCCAGTTCATATCAAGACCCCAGTGTGACTGGAGTCTCACAAAGGTGAGGGGGGGAGGAGCGCTGGTGCAGGAAAGGAGTAGAGGGATGAATTTGGATTTGGATTCTAGACTCCACAGGGAAGTAGCCGGATCAGATTTCCCTCTAGCCAGATGATGTTGGGAAACCTCAGCTGAAAGTACTGAAGGAGGTGTGGATCAAGGGTAGAGATGACAGATCAGTACTTCCTTCATTATTGTGGCCTCACCTCTAAGATCCCGTACCTAGTTAGCACCTGAAGAGCAGACAAACAGAAACCATGCTACCTGAGATAGGTAGGCACACATTCCCAGGTTCCCAGACCAGTAGCCTGCATAAGGTGGAGCAAATACGGTACCCAATACCCCAAGGACTCCCGAGAGAAAAGCAGGTGGGGAGGTGAGGAGACTGCAGGCCCCTGCTCCTAAGTCTCAGCTTTCTGCCTTCACCCTACACTACCACTACGACCATCCCCGCCCGTCCACCCTCTGCAGGCTCACCCGGACTCAGCTCGAAGCCCCTGAGCCCTCCCTACTCTAGTGCTAGGCGTAGCCGCTGCGCATTCACTGAGTTGCCCACGCCCAGCGCCAAACTCGCCGTGAACTCTCTGAGCATGGCGAGTGCTCTTCAGGCTCGGGGTGGCGCCTGGATGGCAGCCCAGTCTGGCAACACTGAGACCCAATACCCCAGCCCTCCAGTTACTCAGGCTACGTGCTTTGCATAGTTTGCGTTTATTCCTTCGGGACGCAAACCCAGAAGGATCCGGGCAGGTGGAATCCAGCGGGGGGGTACTGGGCGGAGCCGCCTGCGCCCCAAGGATGCCAGGTGTCCGCCACGCAGGCTACAGCCGACTCCTTACTGCACACCTTCCATCATCTTCAGGAACTCTGCAGGGAAGGAGACGGCAAAAGTCAGGAGTTGGCCATGCCGAGGGGAGGAGCCGTGTCATTAATTGATAAATAGCACCTAGAACCTCAGCTCACTCAGCCCTGCCCACAAAACCAGAGACACCTGGGTGGGTACCAACTGTACGCATGCGCATCCCGGGGCGTCCTGGCATGGCCCCCACCCCGGCTCCCAAGGCCCTCACCATCAAAATCTATGCGGCCGTCGTTGTTCTTGTCTCCGTCTTTCATCAGGGACTCGATCTCCTCTTCCGTCACGTGCTCTCCAGAAGCCCGGAAAATCTCAGTCAGCTCCTCAGCATCAATGTAGCCGTCTGCGTTCCTTTAGGACAGAGGAGGAGGACCAGGCTCAGGCCTGGGACTGCCCTGGCTACAAGGGACCTCCTCCAGACCCTCACCCCCAGGAATCTTGGCCCCCTGTCTGGGGACCAGGCGCCCACGCCCTCAGTGCACCTGTCGAAAATTCGGAAACACTCTGCCAATTCCTCCTCGCTCTTCCCTTTCGCGTCCTCTTTCATCTGGCGCACCATCATGACCAAGAACTCCTCGAAGTCAATGGTGCCGCTGCCTGAGAGGAGAGGGGGGCCGAGTGGGCCTGAGTCTGGATGCCCACCTTTCCCCATAGTCCCCAAACCGGCCAGCGAGAGCCAATCGCTCACCATCTTCATCCACCTCTTCAATGATGGCGTCCAGCTCTTCTTTGGTGGGCGTCTGACCCAGCATCCTCATCACTGTGCCCAACTCCTTGACGCTGATGTCCCCGCCACCATCAGCATCAAACATATCAAAGGCGGCCTTGAACTCTGACAGAAGGGATAAGGGTCCAGGGCTGAAGAGGCCTGAGTTTACTGTCACTTCCAAAGCCCCCATTATAGATACACCTGCCTTCCCACCCTGCCTCTCCACCAAACATCACACACACACACACACACACACACACACAGAGCCTATCTCACTCACCAGCAATCATCTCCTCGCTGAGATAGGACCGGGCCTCAGCCTGCTGGTCCGTCTGCAGAAGACACAGAGTTAGATCAGAAAGAACCAGCCTACATAGTGCAGATTCTTGCCACCATAACCCCGTTCTCCCAACCACCATTTCTGTAAGTGCCCCCCACCCCCGCCAGCCCCCATTTCCTCTAAAAAAAAAAAAACAAAAAACCAGGTCCAAATGTGCCACACCTCTTTCATTGTCTGCATCACGAGTCTCATTTAGAACAGCAAAGAAGACAGACAGACTTTGTCCCTAAGTGTTCTCAGTTAACAGTCTGAGGCCAAATCAGGAATACCCCACTTCCTCTTCCATGACCTTGAGCAAATCGCCCGGACTGAACCATGATTGGAAGTGAAAGGAATTTGTAAAACTCCAGCACCTTTCCAGCACTATCTTCCAGATTTTGCTAACTCTTAATGGTGCCTGATGCTTTAGTTGTTGTTAAGTGCTGTGGCGTTGATCCTGCTTGGGGGTTTTCAAGGAGCAGCCGGTGAGTTTGAATCACCAGCCTTGCAGTTCAAACTGACCTTGCAGTCCAGTGCTTATCCTACATCACCACACTAGGAGTCCTGATGCATTAGTAGGTACTCTATAAATGTTTGTTCTCAAATATGCAATACAAAATTATTGAGCACCCAGGAAGTATCAGGCTACTACTAGGTACTAGAACCACCAAGAGTGGGACGCATTATTTCCAACCCTCTGAGAACTTGCAAAGATGGAAGATGTAGCTCCCAATTTTAAGATTTCTTCTTATGATTCAGTCATTAGAATAAAAATCTCATGCTGAGCAGAATGGGATGAAGGCCTTGAAGGAGTGAAAACAAGATTGCTGTAGGGGTTTCCAGTCTCATGCTAGTCAGGCCAACAGAGCAGGCTTCATGGAGGAGGGGCTGTTGGATAGCGGCTGGCAGTGAGGAAGGACTGAGGCATCCAAGGAGATCTTCAGCCTCTGGCCCTGCTCCTTGACCCCCACCCCACCCCTCCTCGTTTCCCTCTGCCAGGAGAGTAGACTATTTTTAGTAAGGTGTGGGCAATAGCAGCTGGTCTCTTGGGTCTGGTTACTCCTTGAAGTGGGGAGGGAAGTCTCGGAGGAGAATGACAGGCCCAAATCAGAATCCCTCTCTGAGAGGCTGGGGTCCTTCTAACTCTAGTCTATCATATGTCCTTTTAAGCCCTCAGGACTCTTGGGTCTTGTAGGCCACCTGTCTTCCAGGGGAACCTTTCTTCTGTCACTGACAGTAGGAAAGTTTGGCCATCCCTCTAGCCCACTCCTGCCACTGACTTGCTTGGTGGCCTTAGTCAACTCACTCTGGCTCTCAGAATAACATTTGTACCATGAGGGAGACAAGCAAAGACCCCTGTCATAGCTCTATCACTGAAATTTCTAACAGTCTCAGAAAATCTGGAAGAATTGTCAAGCCTTGAGGATCAATCCCTGGAACATCCCAGGCCTCCCTTTCCAAGAAAAGTTGAAGGCCTTCTTTCTAGACTCTCTCTAAGAAGGTTCCAAGTAACCTTCACACTCCACTCCATCTTCAAATGTACTCCCCACAGAGAACCTGGATCTATCCTCAGAAAGGCCCAGAGGTGCTCCATCGAGTGAGGGAACGTAGTCCCTCCTTATCCTTACCATGGTTGCAGATCACTGGGATTCCTCTGCCACAGGTAACCTTCTCGGCACTCCACCACCCAAAGATGTCCTGGCCCACTCCAGCCCTCAGGATTTGTAGGGGCACTCTATCCTCCCACCTCCTTGCTCCCCAGGACTCAATACTCTGGCCAATCAGATCCTGGGGTCAGTAAGCCCCACCCTCCCCAGAGCCCTAGCCATTTACCTAATTTAGCCAAGGGCCCTTGCAGAGAAATTGAAACCTCTGAGCAGGTGGCTGGCTTTGACGTCCTGGATTCTTGTGAGAAGGACTGGCTCTGCTCCACTGCCACCCCCCTCAGAAAACACACTTGCTCTAAGATGGGACCATCAGAACAGGAAAGTGAGGCAACATAATGGAGTGGGAAGCCTTGTGGTTCAAAACACAAGATCTAAGTACTACCTATTGGGCAGGTACCCATGCCTCTGAGTCTCTGTTTCCTCATCTGTGAGATGGGGATAGTCATAACCTCCCTCATAGAGAGACCGTAGTAAATGGGAATCCAGGTATACGTCACATAACGTGTGCCAGGAACATGGGGTTGGAACTTAGCAAGTGGAATTTCCTGTCTTTGAATCATAGAAAGGGATAGAAGGCAAGAGAAGGGGAGAGATTGATAGCTACAGTCACCATTATTGAACCTCTATGGCGCGCCATACACTGAACTGGGCATTTTAACTGCATGATCTCATCCAATATTCATTCTATGAGGCAACAACTTTTATTATCCCCATTTTACTAAAGTGCTTTGTAAATCCTAAACTAAACAACGTTGGTGATTCTTATTATGAATCCTGACTGGAGAGAGGTTGCAACAGTCTTCGCAGTCAGTCAGGAAAAGGGTTTCTAAGTAGGTGAAGGAGGAGCCATCCCTCTCCTAGAGCTCTGTGAGGAAGTCCAGAGGAGCTCAGCTGACCATCTGAATGATGAACTGGTCTAATCAAGTCTGAAGGGAGCCCACCCCATGATTCCACAGGATCTAGGCTGGACTCATGGACAGTGACAAAGTCAACAGAAAGAGTCCTGAGGAAACCAAGCCCAGGTCCTAGGGCCAGGGAAGGAGGGCTGGACAGCAGGGAAGACAAATGGGCAGTGGCAACTGGGCTGCCCTCTTCCCCTATATTTAGAAATTCCAAGGAAAGCTCTGTAGAGCCAGGCTAGCTAAATCAGACCTTCCCCAGCCAGGCAGAGGGCCAGGGGCGACACCCAGGGAATCTTAATTTGAACACAAAGACTGGAACCACCTGTCCCTGTCGGACCCTCAGAGATCCTATATTCATTGATTTGTTCTTTCATTTATTCTGAGAAATAAATAAGGCCCCACCCAGCTATCCAGTCTCACTGGTTTGCTCTCCTGACCTTGTATGCTGCTCTGCTCTGGTGAGATTCATACCCCAAAACCAAACTCAGCCCACTGCTGTGGAGTGGAGTCCGGCTCACAGTGAGCCTACAGAACAGAGTAGAACTACCCTTTAGAAAGCTTTCTGAGACAGTAAATCTTCAGTGGAGCAGACAACCTCATCTGTCTACCCAGGAGCCGCTGGCGTGTTTAAACCATTAAGCCGGTTCGGTTAGCAGCCCAATGCTCAACCCACAGTGGACTCCAAAAACGCATACAGTACATTGAGTATGTACTTAAATTTTCCTCCAGGCCTATAAATAGGCTGGGGTTTGTTTTTTTCCTGCTGGGATTCCCCCTCTTCTAACCCCAGGCCAGGGGAGTTAGGGTGGTCTCCAGTAGTTTCTTCAACCATAATACTTGAGCCTGTTCTGAATTCCAAAGAGCACAAATGGTTTTCTGTTTCTCATCTCATTCCCCAGGACCCAGCACTTGGTACTTACCTATTTCATCAATTCTGGCTGACAGCAACCCTACAGGGCACAGAACGAGACCTGGTGTGGGCTTCAGGATAATGCACCTCACTGCAAGGTCAGTTTGAACCACAAGGTTGGCAGTTCAAACCAATCAGCCACTCCTTGGAAACCCTATACAGGGTCGCCATGGGTCAGAACCGACTTGACGGCACTTAACAACAACAACAACAAGGAGCCCTGGTGACTCTGTAAGATAAACACTTGCACTGCGAACCACAAGGTCAGCAGTTCAACCCCACCAGCTGCCCCTCAGGAGAAAAATGAGGCTTTCTGCTCCCCAAAAATGTACAAGTCAGAAACCCTATTCAGGGTCACTAGGAGTCAGCATCAACTCAACAGCAGCGGGTTAGGTTTGAATCTTTACAGAAGCAAGCAGACTGCCATCACTTTCTCCTGGGCAGCGGCTAGTGGTTTCAATTAGCAGAAGAATGCTTAACTACAGCGCCACCAGAACAGTTAACAGGTGTTTAATAAACATTTAATAAACATTGGTGCCTCTGTATGAGAAGCACTAGACTGTGAACCACAAGGAGCTGTTTCAGCCCACCAGGAGAAAAACAAGGCTCTCTGCTCCTGCAAACATTGACAGCCTTAGAAACGCTACTCAGGGTCACTCTGAATGTAAGTAAAAGCTAGGTCATCTGACAGGTAGCTGTAGAGAGATGCTAGAACAGTCTTAAGAGTCCTGGAGGACTGATATCTAACAGAAAACTTCCATGAAGTCCTCTTGACGGACTGCTGCCCTCCAGATGAAAGAGAAATCTGGTCTTCCAGAGGAAATGCTCCAATTACGCGTCTGCAGCAGGGGAAAGAACTGGCAGTGGAACCCAGACAACTTGGTTCTATCCCCAGAAACGAAACCGCTGGAGAGCTGTGTGACTTTGGAGGCTGGATCTTAAGCCTGGTGAAGCCATGATCACTGGCCTAAGGGCCTCCCACCAGCAGCCATGAGTCGCTGCAAAATTGGTGTTTTTGTTCCTGTTTTACAAACAAGGAAATCTGGGAAATCTAAATCAGATTCGAGCCCAGGTTATGTGTCCTTTGGCCTCAGTTTCCGCCCTGGAGAAAGAAAGGGGCATCCTAATAAGTACTGGACTACAAGGTCGGTTTGAACTGCAAGGTCAAAGGTTCAAACCCACCAGCCACTCCTCAGAAACCCTACATAGGGTCGCTAAGAGTCGGAAACGACTCGAGGGCACTTAACAACAAAAATGGAGTTCTGGTGTTAACACTCTAGGATAAACACTGGACTGCTAACTGCAAACCCTATGAGTTGCTGTGTGTCGGAACCGAATCGATATCACTTAATAACAATGTGGGTCAATGATTCGGGAAAGTTCACGAGCATCAGGTGGAAACTGTGAGGAGGGTGGCGGGCGATGAGCAATATTGGAGCCGGCCTGGGTCTTCAGGAGGGATGAGATTTAGGGCTAGGGACAAGAGGCACAGAATTCGCTCGAGGGTGACCCAGGATTCCCGGGCAGCTCCGGAGAGCGGGCGGGGCTGGAGGCGGGGCGGCGGCAGGAAGAGGCCGGAGCGGCGCTCGGAGCAGCCTGGCCCCGACGCAGCCCGGCGGAGGCCAGGGACGCCCGGGGGCTTCGTTGAGCCGCTGGGGGCTGCACGGGGACCCCCCCCCCTCCCAGGGTAGGCGCGATTCGGAGTGCACCGCGGAGCGCGAGAGGGAGAGGTGCGTGAGGGGGTGGGGAGACGTGGGAGCGGCCGGGAGCTCAAGAAGACCGCGGGGTAAGCGGTTGGGTCCCGGAGCAGGCAGTGGGGCTGAAGTCCTGGGACTCGCTGGACCCCGGGTGGGGCGTGGCCTCCGAGGCTCCTCCCTCTCCGGCCGGGCTGGTCCCCTAGTCTCTGCGGGTTGCGCGGGGGGGGCAGTCCTGCTCCGGGGCGGGGACCCAGCGCCGCGCACTCCCCCTAGGGTGCCATGGCCTCCCGACTCCTGCACCGGCTGCGGCACGTCCTGGCTGGCGACGGCTCCGGGGAGGTGGCGGCCGGGCCCGAGGCCGAGCAGTTCCCGGAGAGCTCGGAGCTGGAGGACGACGACGCCGAGGGCCTGTCCTCGCGCCTCAGCGGCACCCTCAGTTTCACCAGTGCGGACGACGAGGATGACGAGGACGATGAGGAGGTTGACCCCGACCTGCTTACCCCCGGGGACGGGGCTTCGGGAGAAGACGCAGGCGAGTGGAAGGACGGGGCGGGACCAGGGACTCAGGCCTCCTCCATCCAAGGCGCTTTCTCAAGAGCCTCTGGGGCGCTCAGAGTTGGTCCAAAACTCCGACATTTCTAAAAGTTCCCCAGACATCTCTTCGCTGTGTGACCTTGAGAGAGTCAAAACACCTCTCTGAGCCAAGTTTCTCATGCGTCAAATAAGGAAACTCACCCCATCTCAAGACTGGCGCGGGCTTATAGAGCTTGGGATGCAAATGTGTTAGCGATGCTTTGGGAAGGGAGTGTTTATTTAGCGCCCTTGAAGATCTCTGGTGGCAAAATGATTAAACACTCGGCTGCTCATTGAAAACTCCTCTGTTCGAACCCACCAGTAGCTCCACAAAGAAAGGTGTGGCAGACTTCTAGCATAAGATGTACAACCTTGGAAACCCTAAGGAGCATTTGTAGCCTGCCATGCAGAGTCACTATGATTTGAAATCTACAGTAGTGGGTTATGTTCCAGACACTGTTTGGCACCTGGCCCCTCACTGGCTCTCAGTTTCCATTTCTGTAAAATGGAGCTAAAACTTGCTCACAGGTTGGCTTCATGGTATGGTGGTTACATCACTCCTGGTCACTATGACATGGTGAAGTAACTAATATTGTGTGCATCCACAGAAAGGAGTCCTCCGCCTGATGGGCCTCGGGGTGGTCAGCTCCTGACCCGGCAGCTGCAGGATTTCTGGAAGAAATCCCGGAACACCCTCGTGCCCCAGCGGCTGCTTTTCGAGGTGACCAGCGCCAACGTGGTTAAGGATCCACCCTCCAAGTATGTGGTGAGTGAGGATCCAAGTACTGGACTGTGAATCCAGAAGGTTGGTGTAGCTATAAGACAGGAGAGGTTCTAACTTGGCTGGAAGCAGGATGGGGATCTGGCGATGCAGTTAGAACTAGCTGCCCTGTTTTACAGATGGGGAAACTCAGACCAGTAAGGGGCTATATGTAACTTGAGCAGGTCCTCAAATGACTTCGAATTTCTGAGGCTGACTAAAGTGGGGAGAATAAATTTGTCTCCTTGTCTGGTTTGGGGACTCAAGAGAACTGATTCATTTGAAAGGGTTTTGCAAATTGTAGCAAGATACAGGGGAAAGAACTTTATGTGGTTAGACTTGCAACTTGAGTTGCGTGTGTTAGTAGTAATGATTAAGGAAGTGGATTTTGGAGCCAGAGCAAGCCTGATTCAAATTCCACTAACTTGTTCCCAGATCAATTCAGGTGCTGGACCTTGATAACCTGTGTTCATCTGGGCAGTGGGGATAATGGCAATTCTATCTGTCTCAGAGGACTGATGCAGGAATGAAAGACTGTGCTGAGCGTTGTGCCACCCCCCCCCCCCCAGGTTACTACTCAGTAAAACAGTAGTCCTGGTGAGATGCTGTGCTAATCACAAGGTCGGCCATTGAAATCCATCAGCCGCTCCTTGGAAAGTCTATGCAGGGTTCGTACGAGTCGGAACCGACTCAACAGCACTTAACAACATAAGGAGCCCTGGTGGCACAGTGGTTAAGCAGTTGGCTGCTGAGAGGGTGACTGTTCAAACTCAGCAGCCATGGGAGAAAGCAATCTGCTTCCATAAAGGTTACAGCCTTAGAAACCCTATAAGGCAGTTCTCTGTCCTGTAGAGTTGCTATGAGTGAGCACCAACTCAACAGCAGTGGGTTTGGGTTTTATTTTACTTTGGGTTGAAACTGACTGGCATCTAGAGCCTGCTGTGGTCTCCTTCCAACCTAATTGAATTACTTCGTAAGCTCCCACCCTGGCAGTATAGTCTTGTCTAGACGTCTCTAGGGGACCTGTAGGAGGCTGGGAGAAGAGGAACATGGAGGAGAAGCCGGGGAGTCTGTCTTCTTTGCTGAGGAGAATGAGGTCGGCCAGGTCATGCTCCCTGCCAGCACTGAAACCCAGCCTGACCTGGCCAGGCCTGGTGGGTGGCATTGCCCTACCTCTCACGTCCTTCTTCACTCCCTCCAGCTCCTCCTCTGACTCAGCAAGCAGGGAGCCTGGAGCCCTGTCCCAAATCTGGGTCTTTCCCCTCTTCTCTGCTGCTGTCAGTAAACAGAGCCACAGCCCTGGAACATGCCTCGTTTGGGCAGGGGTTGACTGATGCTCAGGTCCTAAGTGGGTTGATGAAGGATCCTGCATGGGAAGGGCCAGCCCATTAGCAGAGAGGAATGGGGTTGACTTGAATTGGGGGGAGAATGACAGGATAGGACAGGTAGCTGAGTATGCCATAACCCATGTCTGGGGAAGCAAGTCTCCTCCTTTGTCCAGTGGTGACCCCTGCTACCCTGCTAAGTTGTGGGGACTAAAAGCCTCGGCTTTGGAATCTCATCTACCTGGGTTTGAATACCAGGTGTGCCGCAGAGCAAGCCTGAGTCTTTCCAAGTCTCAGTCACTCCAGAATGATCTCCCAGTTCTTGTCCTACATGGATATCCCTTGCTACCATGATTTGCTTAATATTTTCTTCAAATGAACTTTTTTTTTTCCTTAAATAAATTTATTTTAAAAGTCAACTTTACAGCTGTACTGTGAGTGGAAAAACCTCACTTGCCATAAATAGAAGCTAGCCATCAAAAGGCAGTATCATTAAATACTGCTGTTGACTGGAGAGGACCCCCAGTCTGCGATTCGCTCTTGGGCTCTTTTCTAAAATTGGAGATAGGAGTGTTGGAGTGTTTTTTTTGTTGTGTTTTGTTTTTTTAAAAAGGCACCAAGCTGAGCGCTTCTCAATTTATAGTCAGAAAGATGGAGTGAGAATTAAGAGCAAAACACCTCCTCTCCTGAGTCACTGTTGTTTACTCTGGTACCAGAGTAAAAACCAAGTACCACCCTTGTATGTGCTGCTCCTCGGAAACCGTATACAGGGTTGCTATTCTACGGCACTTCCCAACAACAACCCTTGTACTCATGAAGGTAACACTGACCTGGGCAGCACTTACGGCTCAGCCCTCTAGGAGGATATACAGTGGTTATACAGTGAGGGTTATACAGTGACGTAGAAACTGACCTGACATTTGGAACCTGAGCCCTAGACCAGTGTCCACTACACAGTGCTGTCAGATGCCCTCTGGTTCTGGTTTGAAATAACCTGGCCTGGGTGGAACAGAGCTCCAAGCTGCCTCAGCAACCTGGGAGATCAGCTTGGGTTTCAGAGGAGCTGTCAGAAGAGGTAGTGGTAGCCGGATGTCAGAAACTGTCATCAAGTCGGTTCTGACTCCATAGGACAGAATAGAACTGCTCCGAGGCTGTCATCATTACAGAAGCAAATTGCCTCATCTTTCTTTCGGGGAGCGATTAGTGGGTTCAGACTAATGACTTTTGGGTGAGCAGTCCAGTGCCTAACCCACTGCATCACCAGGGCTCTTTAGTGGGGCTCCCTGGAAGGGGCAAAAGGGGGCAACAGCTGCAGGCACTGAAGCCCCTTTCTATCTTTCTCTCTCTGCTGCCATGGGCCTGGGTCCTTTCAGTCCAGCCTCAGGTAAGATGGGTGGGCTTTCCTAACCACAGCCCCCACCTTCCTGGGTCCAGTCCTGTGGGTGATGGGCAGGGAGGGAAGGGGCCCATGGACACCTTGCACCTCTTGCACCTGCCCTGATATCCTGCCCCCTGCAGCTCTACACCGTCGTCGTGATGGGGCCAGGGCCTTCAGATTGCCAGCCGGCCCAGATCTCCCGCCGTTACTCAGACTTTGCAAAGCTCCACCGAAGCCTGCAGCGGCAGTTCCGGGGCCCCATGGCTGCCATATCCTTTCCTCGGAAGCGCCTGCGCCGGAACTTCACTGCAGAGACCATCGCCCGCCGTAGCCGGGCTTTCGAACAGTTTCTGGGCCACCTGCAGGCTGTACCCCAGCTACGCCACGCCCGGGACCTGCAGGACTTCTTCTTGCTGCCCGAGCTGCGGCGGGCACAAAGCTTTACCTGCACTGGTCTCTACCGGGAGGCTCTGGCACTCTGGGCCAATGCCTGGCAGCTGCAGACCCAGCTGGGCACCCCCTCAGGCCCAGACCGCCCCCTGCTGACTCTGGCTGGGCTGGCTGTGTGCCACCAGGAGCTGGAAGATCCCAGGGAGGCCCGGGCCTGCTGCGAGAGGGCCCTGCAGCTGCTGGAGGACAAGAGCCCCCATCCTTTACTGGCACCCTTCCTGGAGGCCCATGTCCGGCTCTCTTGGCGCCTGGGCCTGGACAAACGCCAATCAGAGGCCCGGCTCCAGGCCCTGCAGGAGGCAGGCCTTACCCCCACACCACCCCCCAGTCTCAAAGAGTTGCTCATCAAGGAAGTGCTCGAGTAACCCTGGTGGAGGTCACTGTGGGGAGGGGTTGCCCAGGATTAGGGGGTGAGGGGGCTGATGACATGGCCACAACTGGGAGGCTGATGACATGGCCACAACTGGGGGTGCTGGGAGCCCCTAGACGTGCCACAAAAAGAATTTATAAGAGACTAAGGAATTTTGCCTCTTCTGTCCCGCTGGGCTCAGAACCGGTTCTGGCTGGAGGTGCTCCGGGTGATGCAGGGAAGAAGGGCAGCCTCTCTCCAGCTTATGAACAACTAGAGGCTGTGCCCCCTTTCCCAAGGACTCAGGGTCCTAAAAGTGAGGGTGGAGGGAGGATTGCTGTTCTGGCCCAGGGAAAGTAAAGGCCAGCTGCTCCAGTGGTACTGGTCTCTTTATTGGTGTGTGCAGTGGAAGGCCCAGCCCTCTTCTATAGCTTGCTTCAGGAGTAGCGGTGGAAGGGAAGTCTGGAAGCCCCAGGCCAAGCTGGTACCTCTGGCTAGAGCTTGCTCTCGGAGACCTGGGGCTTCACTCGGATCACCCCCTCCTGTGCACAGGACACAGCCAGGACTCCATCCTGCCGCCACAGCCGCCCGTGTACCAGCCCTCGGGAGCCACCTGTGGGAGAGGGGACAAGTGAGAATGGTCTTCTCTGGCAAGCATGTGTCTGGTAAAGCACTCAGCCCCGGGCAAGGCCAGCCCCTGCAAACGCACCAATCCCTTTATGAGCCTGTTCTGGTCTGTCACTGGGGTGACTGGTCCTCCCAGGGGAACCCAAATTGACCTTTCACTTAACTGCTGGCTTCCTCAAAAATGGTCAAGGAGGGACGGGTGCAGAGAATAAGCACTCAGAGGCTTGGCCAAGTGGATCCACCTGCCTATGGGTCAAACCTGTTCAGGGCCAAATTTGACCACTAGTGTTAGGTAGTCCATCAGTCCTCCAGGCTGGTCATGAAAGCCCCCATCATCACAGGGAAGGGGAGGACCATGAACTTCCTGGCCTGGAGCCGTTGGGTGCTGTGGAGTTGGATGCTTTTGAAGAAAACTGCTGGCCTCTTTTACATACAGCTTAGCTCACTTGGTTCTCACAAGAGCTAAGTGAAGCTAGCAATGACAAAGTCCCTGGAGTTTGAGAACCAGGGCCAAACCTGAACCCATGTGTCCTGACTCAGGCTGTTTACTCGAACTTTGATGTTCTTGATGTTTGAGAACATCTTCCCTATTCCCCACAAAAGGACCTCACCACTCCCACAGCTCTTTCCTGAGCAAAAAGAGTCTCTTAAGTTTTGTCTCTGTTTTACACGGCAAGGCTTTTCTCTGAAGTGCGCCTCCCTGGAAAGGAAGCCAGGGTTCTGGGACTAGACATTGGTGAAGGAGTCAGGGTTATTCTTCCAAAAAGGACAGTCCAAGTAGTGAAGCCCTTAGGGACTGCTGAGTCCCTAACCCCTAACCAGGTTAATCAGCAAAATCACTTAAGGGAGCTTTTGAAAAATGCAGCTTTCTGGACCTGATCCAAGTCAGAACCAGGAGGTGAAATCCAAAGGTCTGCTCTTAGAAAGTTCGCTCCTGAGTATGTGACTGGCTGATGACCTCTTACTGCTCAGTGGCTCAGATGGGGAAACAGGTTCAAAGAGGCAAAGAGACTTACCTGCAATCACACAGAGACTCTGGAGGGATTCTGGGACTAGAACTGGGTCTCTGAATCATACCCCCTTGACCCACCCTCCCAGCATGTTAGAGAAAAGAGCTGAGAAGGTGTCCCATCCTTGAGCCTCACGGTCATTTTGAAGGATGCCAAAGCGGGGACAGGGCGGGGTTGCGGGCAGGGGAAGCACACAGCATGAGCGGAGAAGCCAGGCTCCTTGCCGGACACTCACCAGCCCAGGGGCTCTCACACTCGTAGAGCATCCAGTGGTCGGCTCGGAAGGGGGCGTGGAACCACATGGAGTGGTCCAAGGAGACCATGAAGCGCACATTGTGCTGCCACTGGTGGGGCAGCAGGGCTGTGCCCAGGAAGGCATAGTCAGAGATGTAGGCGGCCACGCAGCAGTGCATCTTCATGTCGCCCTCTCCTGAAACAGGTCCCGGCCAGACCGTCAGCCTTGCGCCCTGGGTACAACTGGACAGACACTTGTGTGCTCAAGGGCAGAGGCTGGGGAGGGGGCACTAAAATGCAGTCTCCACTCACCAGTCTCCCACCTGGGCCCCAGAAGGAGTGCCCTTGTTCCAGTTAGCACAAAGGCACCTTACAGTTAGCAGCAGACCTGGAGAGCCTCAGCGAGGTGCCCTGCCTTCCCCAGAAAGGGCCCTGCATTGGGATTGTTGACGCCTCCCCATTCTCCCCATGCAAGGAATGGACAGAACCCTGGTGAGAAACTAGGCCAGCTTCCCCATCCCACAGAGAAGGAAACGCACCAAGTCAGACAGGGCAATGAGCTGCAGGCCGAAACCCCAGAAAGTGTCACTGTCCAGTTCAGGGGGTCCTCTTACCAATATAGCCCCGAGCTCGCACCCAGAACATCTGTTTGGGCTCCAGGTGCTGCAGCTGGCTCAGGGTGGGTGGGTTTATGACCTTGATCTCAATGGGCACCTCCCGGGCAGCAATTCGGTTCAGTCCCACTCGATACATTTTGTGGATGCTAGGGTCCCTGAAGACAAAGGGAAGGGGAGATGCCAGGAGAGGGCAGCCTCTCATCTAAGCCCTCCTTGTCCCCAAAGCTCCCCTCCACTTGTGGTAGGCATAATCAATTGATCCCTTCTTGGCCACTTGTGAGCCATGCGGCCTCGTACAAGTTGGTAATCTCACTGTGCTTATTTACTAATCTGCAAACTGGATCCTAGGAGCCGAGCTCATAACAGATAGACATGGCGAGAGATGACGACACACCATTGCGGTGAGACGCGCTCTTGAGGGACACTATTTTAGGTTCTCACCATTAACTCATCCCTCCCAGAATTTTGTGAACTAGACACTGTCCACCTCCCTGTTTGACCAATGAAATAATGCACAGGGAGGCCAAGGAGACTGCTCAGGAGGTTGGAGAGGACAGCCAGGCGCCTAGCAGTCTGCTTCCATCGTTCCTACTAGCCACATTCAAGGCACTAGCCACTCCACTTGACCAAGCTGTTGAGAACACTCATCCCCAGAAGGTGGGGCCATTTCCGAGGAGGCCCCTCACTCCAGTAGCCACCACCCTGGTGCTCCTCAGGGGGAGGCCATTCTCAGCCCGACCCTCACAAGTGCTGTCCCCACAGAACTTTCTGGGGTGGAATGTCCTACATCTGTCCTGTCCACTGGATCGCCACTAGTACCTGTGGCTCCTGAGCTCTCGAAATGTGGCTAGTACAACTGAGAAGCGGAGTTTTTAATTCTCTTTTCATTAATTCAGTTGAGCCATAGGACAGCAGCCTTGTGAGGTAGGGAGTTTAAAACTGAGGGCAAAGTGTCAGAGAGTAAGCAACTTGCCCCAACTCTTAGCAAATAGAGAAAAGTCACAACCATGCCATCCAGCCTGCTGCCTCCTGTCTGCAGCAAAAAATAGGAATTGCTGGGTGACTCAGCAGTCAAGTAGACAGGGCAGAAGTGACCAAGCACATTTTCCAGAGGCAGAAACTAAGGCCAGAAAGCCAGGAGCTGGCCCCGGCCACAGTGGGAAATCACTAACAGACTCTGGGCCTGGATCCCACATTCTTCCTCCTGTACCAACACATTTCAAACTTTATTGGCTGGGGATCCAAGTGAGAAATAACGTTTTTACCACACGATACTGGTAAATCGTTAACACCCAGTAAAACAAAGGCAAGGAACCCTGGGGATACAGTACTTAAAGAATTCAGCTGCTAACCAGGGTTTAAGTCCACCAGCAGCTCTGAGGGAGAAAGATGTGGCAGGCTGCTTCCATAAAGATTGGTGGTGGTGGTGATTGTGTGCCACTGAGTCAGTTCTGACTCAGCGCCCTGGATACGGTTTTCGAGGCTGTTAATCTTCATGGGAGCAGAAAGCCACCTCTTCCGTCAAGATTAGTCTTGGAAACCCCAGGAAGCAGTTTTCCTCCATCCTACAAGGTCACTCTGAGTTCAACGGGTTTTGGTTCAGAAGGCAAAAGCAGTGACCAACCAGAGCAGATATGGGCACAGCTATGCAGCAGGGCCCTAGAGCACCCACACCCCTGCCTGCCAGGACTTCGATTAACTCCTAAGCTGCTGGATCGTGGGGGATCGCTCACCTTAAGTACTGGTCAATGAGGGTCTCGCAGTCAAGCAGCTCCTCAGGCGGGGGCACGGTGGGCATGGTGAACTGGTGCTGCACAGGGCTGGGCTGCAGTCGCTGGAAGGAGGCCTGGCAGATGAAGATGGGTTTGCCATGCTGCACGGCCTTCACAGAGCGCACTGAGAAGCTTGCCCCGGTTCGTGTCCGCTCCACCTGGTACAGCACTGGCACCTTTGGGTCCCCTGAAGCACAAACAAGGGACACGGGGAGCCCCATGGGCCATCATCAGCACCAAGGCCACATGGATACCTCAGTCACTCACCCGCCATTCCTTCCTCTGGTCAGTAGCTACTGTGACCTTACCTAAATGCTGGGGATACAGAGAGAGTACCAAGTCAGATCATCGACTTGTTCCTTCCTGGGAGCAGGTGGAGCACCCCCATCACCGGCACGGGAAGCTTGTACTGGCCAGGTTTCCTGTATTCCAACCCTGGCTCTGCCACTCACCAGCTGTGTGACCGTGGGTAAGTCACATAACCACTCTGAGCAGTTCACTCATCTGTAAAATGGAGATCCTCGTGGTGCTCAGTCCTCAGGATTTTTTATTTATGAGAATTCAATGACTTCATAGTTGCAAAGTGTTTAGAACAATATCTGGCACATGTAAGTGCTCTGTTAAGTGTTGGCTAAATCCAATGAATCCTCTCAGCCCTTGTCTCGCTCTGTCTGTCACTGGGATCACGTCATGCACCCAGACCATTTCTTTAGACCAAGAGGTCAGCAAACTAGGGCCTGTGGGTCAAATCTAGCCTGCCACCTGTTTTGGTGACTAGTTTCTTTGGAACATGGCTGGAATCATTTGTTTGAGATTTGTCTGTGGCAGTGTTCATGCGCTACACAGCAGAGTTGAGTAGTCAAAATGTTGTGAAGTCCTGCCAAGTCGATTCTAACCCATAGCGGCCCTGTATAAGGTTTCTAAGGAGCAGCTAATGAGTTTGAACCACCAACCCTGCAGTTCAGCTGACTTTGCAGTGCAGTGCCTCACCCCACAGCGCCACACTAGGACTACTAGAGACCCACAACGCCTAAAGTTGTCGCAAGAGAACAAACGGTGCTGACTCCTGTTCTAGGGTCTCCAAGCTCAAGTCTAAGTAGTGTGTGACATTCCCATACTACCTTCTCTTTGTTTTCCAGAACAAAACCCACAACCACTTTAAAATATTATAACATTCTACCCTGGGCTTTTGGAGTTCTGCTGTGTGGTACTGCAGGATAATGTGCTGGACCACAAGGTCAGTCTGAACCCACCAGCCGCTTCTCGGAAACCCTATACAGGGTCACTATGGGTCGGAATCAACTCAACAGCACTTAAAAACAACTGTGGGCTTTTAGAATCAATCATGCATAATGCAAGGGGCTCCCTCCCTGCCACCATCTCATATAAATATATAGGTTAAGTGCCGTCAAGTAGGTCCCCATGTATAGCACCAACGCTGTGTAGCGCTTCTGAGAAGTGGCTGGTGGATTTGAACTGCCAATCTAAATTATTTATAGAGTTGTTGTTAAGTACCGTCGAGTCAGTCCTGACCCATAGTGACCGCGTATAGGGTTTCTGAGGAGCTGCTAGTGTGTTTGAACCGCTGACTTTGCAGTTCAAATGGCTTTGCAGTCTGGCGCATTAACCCACAGTGCCACACCAAGACTCCTGTATGTATAGAGAGATGTATAAATTTTACGTCTATACATATATAATCTGAAACTTCCTCACTGGTTATATTTGGGGTATGTGGTATGGAGTCACATCACAAACTAACGAGAGCTGCCCTTTTAGCCACGCTGCCGGAGAGCTGCTCACTAAATTTTGTAATAAACTGTAACAATACACCTTAGCCCAGTTTGAGGATAAAATCGTATCTTCCAAGCTCCCTGTTACCACTAGCCTGCTGTCCTTAAACATTTATTTTGTTAGCTATCAATGAGCTTAGCTGTCTTGCAGCCTTTCCAGGAAGTTGTTGTTAGGGGCCGTTGGGGCAGTTCCGACTCATAGCAACCCACTGCCGGGTCTGGCGCCATCTTCACAATTGCTGTTACATTTAAGTCCATTGCTGCTGTCCGTGTGTCAATCCATCTCATTAGGGGTCTTTCTCTTCATTGACCCTCCACTTTTCCAAGCATGATGTCCTTCTCCAGAAACTGGTCTTCCGACGGTGTGTCCAAAGGACTTGAGACAAAGTCTCACTATCCTCAACTGTTAAGAGCTTTCTGGCTGTACTTCTACCAAGATCAATTTGTTTGCTCTTCTGACAGTGCACGGAACTTTCAATATTCTTCACCAACACCGTAACTCAAATGCATCCATTCTTCTTTGGTCTTCCTTATTCACTGTCCAGCTTTCACATACATGTAAAGCTGTTGAAAATACCATGGCAGGGTAAGGTATCCCAGGAAAAGGCACACCTTAGTCCTTAAAGTAGTGGTGTAGTGGCTATGAGTCAGGCTGCTAATCTCACAGACAGCAGTTCAAAACTACCAGTGGTTCTGCAGGAGAAACATGAGGTTTTCTGCTCCCATAAAGATTTACAGTCTTGGAAACCCTATACAGGGTCACTGAGTCGGAACCAACTCCACGACACACCGCTAGTCCTTAAGGTGACTTCTTTGTTCTTTAACACAAGAGGTCTTTTGCAGCCGATTTGCCTAATGTAATACATCATTTGATTTCTTGACTGCTGCTCTCATGAGCATTGATTGTGGGTCCAAGTAAAGTGAAATCCCTGACAATCCTTTCCTCCATTTATCATGATGTTGCTTATTGGTCCATTTGTAAGGATTTTTGTTTTCTTTACATTAAGGTGGACTCCATACTAAAGACTGTAGTCTTTGAGCTTCCCCAGCAAGTTACTCTTTGCTTCCAGTAAGCAAAGGCATGTCATCTACATACTGCAGGTTATTAATGAGTCTTCCCTCCAATCCTGATGCCTATATGTTCTTTTTCATATAGTCGAGCTTCTCAGATTGTTTGCTCAGCATACAGGCTGAGTAAGGGTGGTGAAAGGCTCCAACCCTGACACATACCTTTCCTGATTTTCAATGGAAAGAGGAAGGGGCATTATGGGAGAAAAGAACACGCAGTGTCCCCTTGTTCTGTTTGAATGACTGCCTCTTGGTCTATGTACAGGTTCCACCTGAGCACAATTCAGTGTTCTGGAATTCCCATTCTTTGAAATGTTATCCATAGTCTGTTATGATCCACACAGTCGAATGCCTTTGTATAGTTAATAAAACACAAGTAAACATCTTTCTGGTATTCTCTGCTTCCAGCCAAGATTCATTTGACGTCAGCAATAATATCCCTCATTCCACATCCTCGTCCGAATCCAGCTTGAATTTCTGGCAGCCCCTTGTTGATGGACTGCTGCAAAATTTGTACCTTGGTAAAATTCTACTTTTTACTTTTATGTGATAGCAATGATGTTGTTGTTGTTGTTAAGTGCCATCGAGTCGGGTCCGACCCATAGCGACCCTGTACAGGGTTTCCGAGGGTGTAAATCTTTACGGGAGTAGAAAGCCTCATCTTTCTCCCGCAGAGCGGCTGGTAGTTTCGAACCGCTGACCTTAAGGTTCGCAGCCCGATTCGTAACCACTACGCTACCAGAGCTCCTTGATATTGCTTGATAATCTTCTGTATTCTGTAGGGTCTTTTTTTTTTGGGGGGGGGGGGCGGGGATGAATCTCTATCAGTTGGTTGGCCAGGCAGCTGTCTTCCAAATTTCTTGGCATAGACAAGTGAGTACTTCAGCTCAGTATCAGTTTGTTGAAACATTTCAATTGGTGGAGGCAGGGGACAAATAAGTGGAGATTAATTAGCAAATACTTGGAGTTTCATTTTGAAATAGTAGCAAGGAAGAGGATCCTTCCCGCAGAGCCTGGGCCGGCACCCTGGCAGTTGTTCACTGGTTTGGAATTCTCTTCATGAATAAAAAGAGAAGTGTACAAGGAGAAGAGGCGTACAATCTAGGTTCAACTCATGACTCTGCCTCTTTGAACAGTTGTGGGAGCTGGTTACAACCCTCTTCAGGCCCCCGTTTCCTCAGCCTTGGAATGGTGGCTAGAATGCCCACCCTTATGTTTACTTAGGAAAACTAAGCCAGAGCACGTCTCCAGCTGTATTCTGTGCCGTGAAAAGATGAATGATTCCCGTAATGATGATCATTTATGGAAAACCTGAGCTGTGCCATGCACTGCACTACATGCTTGACCTGCAAAGACTTCAAATTCTTTCATCACAGTATGAAGAAGCCAACTGAGGTCTCAAGTAATCCACCCTATTCCACAAGCGAAAACCAAACAGCCAGCTCTCTCACTAAGCTCGGACGATTACGTCAAAAGGTCACCAGCTCTGAATTAATCACCAAACTGAAGAGACAAAGTGCACAATTAGTCTCAAGAAGAATGAATACATGCTCTACCACTCATCTGTCAGTCTGTGGGGGCTTGCATGTCACACAGTGGGGGCTTGCATGTTGCTGTGATGCCGGAAGCTACGCTACTGCTATTTCAAATACCAGCACAGTCACCCGTGGTGGGCAGGTTTCAGCAGAGTTTCCAGACTAAAACAAGGAGGCCTGGTGGTACTGTTGTTAAATGTTGGACTGCTAACTGAAAGGTCAGCGGTTCAAACCCACCAGCTGCTCCTAGGGAGACAGATGAGGCTGTCTGCATCTGTAAAGATTTACAGTCTCAGAAACCCTATGTTGGGTTTCACTCAATGGCGGTGGGCTGGGTTTCCTCTGACCAAGATAGACTAGGAGGAAGGAAGGGGCCAAGCCCTCCTGAAAGGTTAGCCACTGAAAACCTTACGAATAGCAGTGGAACAGTCTGATACAGTGCTAGAAGATAACCCTTCAGGTTTCAAGGCACACCAAATACGACTAGAGAGAAGCTGCCTCCTCAAAGTAGAGCTGACTTGAATAACGTGGATGGAGCAAAGCCTTTGAGACCTTATGTGCTCAGGAATCCTAACTCAAAATGAGAAGTAAGAGCTGCAAACATGTATTTGGGCTTAAACAAAACAACTGTGAGAATGGCAAAGGACCAGGTAGTGTTTTATTCTGTTGTCCACAGAACCACTGAGTTAGAAGGGACGTGAAGGCACCTAACAACAATACAACAGCACAAAGGTAAGAACTGGACTGCTAAATAGCCAAATACTTTATAGCATTGATGGTTGGGGGGTACAGGCAATAAAGGAATGGGGAGTGGGAGACACAGTAATATTTATTATTTGAACTAGTTTTTGTCAAATGAAAGAAAAACCTATTGTGTTACAAATCATAGAAAGTAAACGTAAACAAAATCTTCCCCAGCTGATCTGACTCTGAAGAAGGCACTCACTCTAAAATTGGGGACACAGGCCCTAAGAGGGAAAACAAGTGTTTATGTTTCTGCTTCTAAAAAAGAGAGCATGGCTTTTAAGATTGCCCAGGCTTCTTTATCTGATGGCCGAACTACAGGCAACTACAGACACCGTCCCATTAAAAGCCTCCTGCTCCCCCCAGCGGGTGCTCTTTTCTCCAAGCCAGGCCTGCGTACCCCCAAGCCCCTGGTAGAGGTTACAGCGGATCAGAGATCTAGCACAGTGCTTGCAATAATAAGGAGTAAGTAAGCAAGAAGCGTGTGTCATTAGGGCAGGGGAACAAGGTAACAGCGAGTCTCAACATGTGCCAAGTCCAAGGTTCTTGGATGGCTCCAGGCCTTGTTCTTCTCTTAGCTTCCTGGAGCCTGGAATCCTGTCTCCGGTCTTCTCTTCTCTCTCTCTCTCCTTCTCCCCCTCAGTCAGTATGCCAAAGCCCAAAGGAAATAACTCCTATGCCCCACTTCTTCTCTCCCCCTTTAACCTCAACAGCCCCCCACAGCCAGGAGGAAATGGCTTCTGGGGCCCCAGGGCTGCATGGGGGCAGGGAGGGGTAGTTTACCTGCCCGGACAAAGTAGCAGTGCAAGGAGTGTACATGGATGTCTTCACTCACAGACTTGGCTGCAGCCACCAGGGCCTGCCCCACGATCTGACCCCCAAAGAGACGCTGGGTGGTGGGTACCCAGTAATGCCTTCCTCTGTGGGAAGAGAGGGAAAGTGGGAGAGACTTGGATGGGGAGCTGAATCTTAGGGCTTTCAACAAGCCTCTGGTGATAGTGGTGGTGGTAATGTGCCATGAAGTCGGTTCCAACCCAGAACAACCCTGTATAGGGTTTCCAAGACTGTAAATCTTTACACCTCATCTTTCTCCCACGGAGCCGCTGGTGGATTCAAACTGCTGACCTTGTGGGTAGCAGCCCAATACATAACCCACTATGCTACCAACGAGTCTGACTGGGGTCAAAGATCCCTCTGAGAAACCTTAAGATGAATATCCTTTCATATCACTCTGCAACGTCATGGTCTTCATTTATTACTCAAAGTCCTGCTGTGGAGTAAGGATAACAACCCACTTATCTTACACTAAAAAATGGGTCAAGTGACTCAAGAAAGGTCACAAGGCTTAAACATTGCAAATCCTGGCCCTCAGCAGGCTCTTTGGATTCCAAGTCTAGTGTTTCTTCTCCTCATACTCAGAGTAAGGCAGAAACCTCTCAAGGCCTTGGGTAGACCCAGATGAACCCTAAGAACTAAGCAGGTAGAGACCGCCCCCTGTATTTCTCAATCACAACAGCCCCATTCTTTCAGAGATGGAGGAAGCTGGGTCCCCACAAGTGAAGAAACTTAACTGGCCTGTGAGCCAAGTGAAGGCTGCCCAGCTCCAGTTTTAATATTTTCCATAGCGATGTACTGCAAATAACCCTCCAAGAAGCTTTCTGCATATCGTTAAGTGGGGGGTGAAACCCAATGATGCAGTGGTTAAAGCACTTGGATGCCAATCAAAAGGTCTATGACTCTAAGGACGAAAGCTATGACAATCTGCTTCTATAAAAGAATACTGTGGAAGCCTTATGGGGCAATTCTGCTCTGTCCCATAGTCACTGAGTCAGAATCACTCTAAGGCAATAATGCGTTTGGGGATTTTGGTGGTGGTGGTAAGTGCCACCGGGTCAGTTCCAACTCAGCGATGCTGTCCAAAGTTTCTGAGGAGAAAGTAGTGGGTTTGAACAGTGGACCTTCCAGTTAGCAGTCCAGTGATTATCCTATAGCACCACACCAAGACCCCTTTTGGTAAGTGGAGGGAGGTTAAAGACAAAGTTCCCAAAGAAACTAGTTCTGGAGGCCGAAGCACTTACATCTCCAGGAGCTTAACTGACCCTGGAAAAGACGGGGGGCAACAGGTTTCAGACCGCCGGATAAGCAATGAGATACCAGAGCTCACCAATGCTAAAAATGCAAAAAACCGCCATCAGCTGTGTGCTCTTGGACTGGATTTCCCAGGAAGAAACCCTTAAGGGCAAACTGCCCTATCTCAGGTACTCAGTTTATTTGTCCAGATCGCAAGGACCTGGTAAGAATGGCGCTGCGCAGTCCCGGCGCGGAGGGAGAGGGAGGTAGCCAGGGTAATCTTGACAAGCCCTCTCTCGATCGCGGTAGTGCCTGCATACCGCACGGAGCCCATCCTCGTTCTGGAGCTGGGGGGCACCGGTGGGCGGCAGTTCAGGTCAGGAACCTTTGTCCCAATGGGGGGCACAGACCAAGTGCGGCCGGCTACCTGAAGAGATCCTCGTCCAGCGGCTCAAGGTTGAGCACGCTGGTAACCAGGACGCTGCGGAGGTCCCCGGGAGTATCGTCGTCACCCTGCCTGTCCTCCGGAGCCTGAGAGGACGACATCGGGTTCACGGGATGCAGATACTCTACACGGCGCTGGGCGGGGCACGTGGAAACGTCCCGAGACCGCAGCTTCCTGCCAATTGCCCTGGTAACCGGAAGTCCCCTGCAGGAGTTTGAGAAGGCGGTATTTCAGCTATGATTGGTTGGTTTTCCTGTCAGTCCCTTGGTGGGTGTAACTGGATTTCTCTAATAATTGGAGAAAATAAATGCCAGTCTGAAAACCCTGTATATGATTGGGTGACACAGCGAGGGGGTGGAGACTCGGTACTGATAATAAGGGCTGAGTGTCGATTTCTCTCTGTCACAGCAAAGACGCCCCTCGCCCCAATAACCCTCTCAGGCCTTGGGCTCCACTTGTCCCCCGTTTCATAATAGGCCACTCTTGTGGGTCCGATTTCTAGGGGTCTTGGGCCGAGGCTAGCCTGTAGACCGTCATAGTGACCTCTGACCCCCGGTGTACTCTTGGACCTCTGCCAGGACCAGCCCCTGGTGTGGGCTGAGGGGGTGGCCATGGAGCTAGGCAGCTGCTTCGAGACCTACGAGGACTTCAAGGATTGCTTCAGCGCCTACAAAAAGAAGAACAAATGCTCCTTCATTCCCAGAGACTGCGTCTCCGTCCGCTTCCATAACCTCAACCACGGCACCTCCATCCGCGATGACATCGTGTAAGGGTGGGGTAGGGTGGGGTGGGGTGGGGTAGGGTGGAGTGGGGTGTGGCGGGGGGGGGTGGGGAGGAGGGCGGCTTGACGAGGGGGCGGCGGGGATTGCTGTGGGACCCTGGCCTCCGACTTCCTCACCCATTCATTAAGGAGGCACCTGCTGTGTGCCTCCCCTAGGCATTGCTTTTTGACCACCCACTTCACCTTCATTCACTCACTCCTTTACTCACCACCCTTTTCTGGAATTCACAATTGAAATCTGCCCCTTTTTTGAGCACCTACAGTATTTCAGACACACGGTATGGCCTTCACAGATGGATTTAAGAAAACGCTATAGCGTTCTGTTCTTAACTAAGCAATAGCAGGTCAATCGGTGATTGGTTCATTCATTCGTTTTGGAAACAGTTCTTGAGCTCTTAATAGGAATCCGTTTCAAAAACTTTGCATGCCCCAGGCAGTGTTCGCTACTCTGGGCATGCATTACCCCCTCCAGCTGTATCAAAGTTTTTTTTTTTTTTTTTTTTTTCATATCTAACAGGTAAGAACACAGGCTTAAAGAACTTAAGACAGGACTTCAGGGCTCAGGTGAAACTGCTCAGTGTAACCTAACTTTTTATTTTACTGTAAGAATAAGAATGATGAAATAAGGCCTCCAAATTTCCTTGCTGGAAACCACCGAGAGAAGTGTGAACTGGGGCAAACTGGGGAGCAAATCCTATCCAATCAACTCCAACTACTATTGCTATGTGAAAAAAATCCATGGTTGCCAGAATTGAGGGCAAGAAGAGGCAGAAACCTTGACTTTTATATGAATTTGTCCACTTTTTTTAAAACTGGAAATCAGTTTGTATTTTAAGACACACCATGTGTGTGCCAACTCTTAGAGTCAAAAACATGTGTCTGAAGGCCACCAGTTGGAGACCTCTGTGTTGAGACATGGCCAAAGCACCCCAGCCAGTCATCATCTGTGTTCTGTTGTTGTTAAGTACCGTGGAGTTGGTTCCAACTCATAGTGACCCTACACAGGGTTTCCGAGGCTGCAAATCTTTACGGGAGCAGAACGCCTCATCTTTCTTCCATGAAACAGCTGGTAGTTTTGAACTGCCGACCTTGAGGTTAGCAGCCTGATTCGTAAGCACTACACTACCAGAGCTCCTTAGCTGTGTTCTATTACTCAGCAATCTAGTGTTGTGTTGGGTACAGATGACATAAAGATGATTAAAAACTCCGACCTACCCTCAGGGGACTTAAGGAGCACTAGACCTGGACTCAAACAAGCTAACTGGTGGTGGTTTTGTGCCGGGGAATCAGTTCCAACTCATAGCAACCCTGTACAGGGTTTCCAAGGCTGTAAATCTTTACGGGAGCAGAAAGCCTCATCTTTCTACCGGGGTGCAGCTGGTAGTTTCGAACTGCTGACCTTGCTATTTGCATCCCGATTCGTAACCACTCTGTTACCAGAGCTTCTTCAGACAAGCTAACTAGTAAGTGATATATGCCGAGGAGAAAGTGGCATGCCCTCCAGAAGTAATGGTTTCTCTGGGTAATGAATGTATGTAGAAGGCTAGATTGGAAGTCTCAAGGTTCCTGGCTGGTGCCAAAGGTTTGCTCTTGACTACTCACCTAAAGGCTGGTGATGCAAACCCACTCAGCCTGGCAATCCGCTTCCCTAAAAACCCGTGGGGGCGGGGGGGCAGTGGAGTTCTACTCTGCAACACATGGGGTCACTGTGAGTTGGAACTGACTAAAAAGCTATAGTTTCATTGTTGTTAGAGCCGGAATTCAATGGTAATTTTTGAGTAGCCTGGAAGAGTTTGACCACTATGGGAGCAAAGCCACATATAAGAATAAGAAGGGAACATGGTTGAAAAACTGGGGCAAGGGGCTGCCATGACTGGTAGGGAGTAAGATAAGCTACTGTATAGTGTGTGGACTGTACCCTACGTGTATAGCGTCATGATAAACAGTGAGAAGGATACAAAAATGCCCTGCACTCAGATCTCAGTTGCTTAAGGAAGTGGTTCGAAGCTACCAACTGCTCTGAGGGAGAAAGATGAAGCAGTCTGCTTCTGTGAAAATGTACAGCCTCAGAAACCCCACTGGGTAGTTCTCTATCCTATCAAGTGACTTTGAGTCTCTGAAATAGAGAAGTGGGTTGTTTTTTTTTGCTGTCAGCTGTTTGCTGTCTGATTTAGAAAACAATTATTAGCTTCCCATTGTTCTTAAGATGCAGTCTAGGATCATAACCTGACTCACCCGATCTTACCTCGCTGATGTTTCCATTTTGCACTGTGTGCTTCATCTACAAAGGACCTTCTCCAGACTCAGCCCCTGTCTTAATTCTCCAGTGCTTCTGTAACAGAAATATCCCAAGTGGATGCCTTTAACAAAATGCTGGCTATAAAAAGCAAAACAATACAAAAGACCTTTCTACAAAACAAACAGTTAAAAACCTTCAGGCCCTGATTGTTTCACTAGTGAATGCCATCAAATATTTGAGAAATAAATCATATCAATCTTGCAAAAATAGAGAAAAAGGATACCAAAAACGAATAAGCATATTATAAAAAGAGAATTGTAACCAATATCCCTCCTGACATAGACTTTAAAATCTTGATTAAATATGTATTAAACTCAGTAACATATATAAAAGACTAAACCAAGAATAAATAGGGCTTATCTCAGAAAAAACGACAACAACGCTGGCTATAGGGGAAGGCTGGCTGTCTGTCTTCGTCAGGACCTGGAGAAAGACTTTCCTTTCAGTATCTATAGGCTCCTCATTCCTTGGAGATCTCCATGTGTCTTGGCATCCGTCTTCCTTTGGATCTAAGAACTTCACAGTGCAGGGACCCTAGCACCAAAGGACACATTCCACTCCTGACTCCTCTTTCTTGTTGATAGTAGGTCCCTCTGAGCTCGGCTTGCCAGATTAATGTCTTATATAGCTCAAAAGGGAGTCCTGGTGTGGCACTGTGGGTTAATGCCCCAGACTGCAAAGCCATTTGAACTGCAAAGTCAGGTTCAAGCTCATCAGCCCCTCCTTGGAAACCCTATACAGGGTTGCTATGGTTTGGAACCGACTCAATGGCACTTAATAACAATAACAATAGCTCAAAAGAAGTTGACTCAAGATACAAACAACCTAATCTGTTACCTCCATCTGACCTCATTAACATCATAGACTGAGGATTTACAACACCTAGGATAAGGCGTAGTGGTTACGAATCGGGCTGCGAACCTTAAGGTCAGCGGTTCGAAACTACCAGCCGCTCCGCGGGAGAAAGATGAGGCTTTCTACTCCCGTAAAGATTTACACCCTCGGAAACCCTGTACAGGGTCGCTATGGGTCGGACCCGACTCGATGGCACTTAACAACAACAACAAGGATAACTATAGCAAACCAGGGCTGACACATTGGATCACATCACGGGGGAAGATGCTGACATTTTATTAGAGCTCACCATGGCCATTTACTATATCTTAACTGCTACACCACTGAGAATCCAGGCCCAGGTAAGATGACACAAAGCTTTACTATCACAGCCCCTGCCCCAGGCCCACAGCTTCCTGATCACTGTGCTTCCTGTGTCTTCTGGGTAGAGTGGCCATGCCAGTCACTCAGTCTGCTCATCTCGCGTACAAGGGACTTCAGAAAGGTCATGGAAAAATGGGATTGAAAGATAGTGGAATTTTTCTAGCAACTTTTTGAAGTCCCCTCGTATGTCAGTCATTCTGTGTGCCCTCATGTCGTTTAGTTTCTTTTCTTCCATCTTTTTAAAAAAACAACTGTTATTGTGATTTGAATCAAAGTTAGCAGAGCAGATTGCTTTTCCAGTCAACCACCCGCACACATTTTGATTCGTGCCATTCATTGAGATCCCACAATGTAGCAGCATGCTTCAAACTTCCTCCCTGGATTTTCCATTGCGATTCATCCTTCTTTCCTTTCCCTTCTTGCCTTCTGAATGGGATTCCTGGGCAAACCCTGCCCTTTTGATTTCATATGGTTGGTTGTTCTAAGGAGTGTGTATCTCCCTGGTGCCATTTGGTCACCTCATAGGCCTGTCTGTCCTTGGACTGTAAGTTGAACCACTGAAATGAGTTCAGTTCCAGGCCTGAGGGTGTCTAAGGCTTTCATCTCAGAGGGTCCACCAGTTTCTATTGAATCATTAAAGCCTGGTATCATCTCGTCTCTTGTCACATCCAAAAGTTAGTTAACTAAATATTTTTCTTTAAATTTGCTCAGTTTTGATATTCAAAGAAACCTATTTTGGACCCAACCTAGTGTGGTGCTGTAAAATAAGCACCGGACTGCTAACCGCAAGGTCTACAGTTCAAACCCACCAGCCACTCCTTGGAAACTCTATACAAGGTTTCTATGAGTCAGAACCTGCTTGACAGCACTTAGTGACAAAAAAGACAGGAATCAGATTGGCTAATTTCCTGTAGAATGCAGAGCATTAATAGGAAATAAATGCTATGTGTTTGTAAATAGTCATTAAAGTATCTGAGGTCATTTTGGACTCCTTGTGGGAAACTGTCTTAGCTAATTGTTCATGTTTCTTCTGGCCTCAGTACTTCTTCCAGGAAGCCTTTCCCACCTTCCCCAGGATTTGGTGTGGTGCTCCAGCACCACCTGCTATACCTCTCCCCATGTGGCTTTGCCCAGTTGACAGAGGTTTCCCAGTTGGCTGAGCTCTTCCAGGGAGGGACCCTGGATCACCATTGTATCCACAGGATCTAACACAGGATTTGGCTTATTGTAAGCATTAAGTCATTGTTTATTGAATGAGCGAATCATTAAGTGCTAAATATAAGTATACTTTGATTTATTGAGCTTCACTTTATTGCACTTGTCAAATTTTGTACATTTTACAATTTGAAGGCTCTTGGCAACCTTGCATCCAGCAAGTCCATCAGCGCCATTTTTTCCAATGTCACTTGCTCCCTTCTTAGCTCTCTGTCACATGCTGGTCACTCTCATGATATTTTAAACTTGTTCA